ACGCTACCATGCTAACGCTACCATGCTAACGCTACCATGCTAACGCTCACGCTACCACGGCGTCTGCCACAGATAGGGGAGTAAGCTGAGGGGGGGGGCAACATGCAGGTGAAAGGCTGGAATATTATAATGAGCTAGAGCTAATGACGTCAGAAACTACCCACTCCTGAAACCTCCTGATTTATCTCCTGGATTCAGACTGAGGCAGCCCACAAAAATATGAGTCATTTTTTTTCACACTTTGCCTGCTGATAGGCCCTCCACAGTCCCAAATGTACATAATCAAATTATTAAAAACTTGGTTTTGCATAATATGTCCCCTTTAATCTGCCTGACTTCCTTCTTCCCATCCATCTCAGACAATACAAAGACAAAGAGGAGGAGCACCAGGGCGGCTTCTTCTCCACCCTCACCAGTATGGTAGGCTCCTCTTCCTCAGAGCGCCTTCCTCAGGAGTAATAATTTCTGTGGTCTTCCTCTGTAAACTGGGACCTCCTGTCTGCAGGTCGGCAGCATGTTCATAGCAGATGCGGATGAGAAGCTTTCTGTGCAGTAAGTATGAAGTCCTGTCCACCTCTTTATGAACCCTGACCCCGACAGCTTCACTGTTCGAGGGTTGTTTTATTGTCTGCATTCATGAAAACAGAGTCAGTGAGACCAGGGCTTTCTCCTATTGGCTAAAATTCAACCAAAAAAATAAATACAAATTCAAGACCTTTCATACCATGCCGTATACCATTGCACGGTTACCACAGAAATATACTACAGCTCATTTATAACACGTTTACATCATGTTCAAACATGATTTTTTCAGTGAATCATGTAATTCTATATATGTACACACATATTCAAACAATGATTTGTAATTACCGTGCGTTCGTTTAATAAAACATCAACTTATACCTGGAGCACTACTAAAGATACGGCAAGCGCAAGCACCCAAAAAGCACAAACGCAAAAGGCAGTCGTGAAGACCCATGGTCAAAAAGTGAATGCATTCGGTACAGCATTTAACATCGTTTCAAACTAATAACAATAAAAAAAAAAGAAAGGAAGATAAAGATTTTGGTGAGAATTCACTCTCTACAAAAAGGAGCATGTATTTTAACTCCGTTAAGAAAGAAAATGTTCTTTCTTCTGTCATACCATCATTAACATTTCCTACAGAGGAACAGAGTTAAAATTAAAGGATTTTGGCTTGATGCCATAAACTTAAGCCCAGAAGTGTCTGTTTGAGTATAGTCCATCTGACTAGTACCTGCTCACCTCAGCTACTCAGTGCCTGGTGCCATGTTCATTTTATGAGCAGTTATGTTTTACTGCTAAACAGGAAGCTGAAATCATGGCCATGATGCAAAAAACAGAGCAAAAAAAAAAGGAATTCAATAAAAAGCCTCGTGGGACCAGCATGAATGTTTAATTTCTTTGTAAAGCAACAGGTTGGAGAAGGAGGGGGAACTGAAAATCACACATCCACATTTTCCCTTTTTTCCTACATTGATGTTTTTTTAGCTGGAGCTAAAAATCCAGCTGTGGATAAAAGCTGCTCGTCAACCATATTGTTAAAAGTGTGAAAGTGATCATGAATGTTGGTCGATGGGAAAATGTTTTAATCTTAGAGCCATTATGTGAAGATTTTTAAAAACTGAGTTTAAGAAGCAAATGCTTGAATTTTTACTCTTTTCCCTTTGATCTGAAGGACAAATGAGGCGATTCTGCTGGCTCTCTATGAGGCCGTGCACCTGAACAGAAACTTCATCACCGTGTTAGCACAGGTAAGACCACCTGGACGGACGGGCTATTATTATTATTATATTATTAATATATTGTTATTTCTCACGATGTTGGACTGGGATGTACTTTAGTCCTCCAGATTCAGAGGGCCAATCCTCACTGATGTTTTACAGGCCTTGCAGGATTAAAGCACGATATCATCTTTCTTTTAACTTTCTAAATTCCTGCTCGGACTTTAGTTATGCCTGTTTGAGCCATCGTAGCTAAATATTTACCAGTGCTGTTTTAAATGTTAACAGATCTGATGATTAATGAACATGGGCGTTGTGGGCAGTGTTCGCTAAAAGCTGCTTTCCTCTCTGTTGTTTCTGCCCTTTGGCCCCTAAAATGGCGCCTGTTTATAGCCGCCCATCATCAGTGTGAGTTCTTGCTGTACTTTATGGAGCTTTAGCTTGACGCTCGTCAGACTCCGTCGTATCCAAAAGCTTAGAAAAATAAAGACGCTAGTCCGCTTCTTGTTTTTGACTGTTTACTAAAAATTCAACTCAACATTACAAAAACATAAATTATATTTCCAAAATTAAATCTTAAATTCCAACGGAGCCTGGGAAGGGCGAGGTCAAAAAACTATTACGCTCAACTCTCCTTCGGATTCCAACTGACCCTGGTATGAAGGTAAATCACCTGCTGGGAGATTTTGTAAACTTCACAATAAAAGTGTTATTCACAACAACAGAAATGAACTGTAAATATCAAATTTAAATCCTTGTTAAATCCTTTTAGATAATTGAATAACAAAAAATATTTATCTTACTTGAGAATTTGCATATTTTTGAATAAAAAATATTCCAACTAGACCACTGGGATAGGCTCCAGTTCCCCATGAGGGAAAAAGCGGTATTGATAATGGATGGATGGATGGATGGATATTCCAACTAAAATTAACTGCATTTAGGCTCCTACAATCAGTGACTTCTCTACCTTTTTTTTTACCCGAACAGAGCCACCCTGAGATCGACATCGCGGCGACGCCCCCCGTCCCGACTCCCACCACTCCCACGACTCCCCTCGGCACCACGCCGCCCTCCCTAGACAGTAAGCCCCAAAATGTTCCCGAGGGTTTACCGTGACAGGCCTCGGCGCGCAGAACATGCAAACTGTCAGCGGCTGGGCTTAATGTCTCCTTTGTAGTGCATAATCTGAAATATTTAAGAAGGTAAATTCATTATGACAGAGTTTAAAACACTTCCTCAGCTCCTCTTTTGCTACTTTAGAAAAAGAGCTCATACACTTTAACCTCTCTGTTTTAAACAGAAAACTCGCATAAATCATTAGAAAACTGGCGACCTAAATGACATTAAACTAATCATTTTAGGGTTAGTTTGAATTTCTCCAAGCGATGATGATCTGACATTATTTTGTGGAAGTTATATTTTTACTGGTGACAGAAACGATGAAAATGGTGATAAAATTAAATTCGATAGAGGTTTCACAGCTTCTGGAAAGTGGGGGTTAAACATTTTAATATTTATCTTCTTTATTCCCTTTTGGCTTAACAGAAACAGCAAAGTTTCCTGTATAAAAACAGATTAAAGTTAAATATGTGCCACTTCTTACTCATTTATAAGCAAAAGATCACTCACATAAGCACATTTTCTGCATGGAGGAAGATTTGCAATTTTACTGTCCTGTCATATATTAACTCTACATAAATGGACCTAATGGTTTGTGATTTTAAATGGAGCAAAGCATTTCTTAATAAAGGATCTTCGGCGCTTTACCTTCATGTTATCTTCACGTTTATGAATATTTAAAAACTTGCCTTTCAAGTTCTTTTTCTCCAGCTGCCTTCAAACGCTTTTATCTGGAAATAAATGACTTGTGTGCTCACATAGTGCTTCTGACATCATCGACTTGCTTCATAATTGTCAGATTCTTCCATTGATCTCAAATTGTCACTAATCTGTCTTTGAAAACGAGCGCATGGCTCTTATTTTGGGCTCGCCAGGACCTTTTTCGCAGCCCGTTTCTGTAAACATGCTGTAACTATTAAGAGGTGCATGCTTCCATCTGGCTCCGCTCTAAACCCAACAGCCCCTCCCTCGTTATGAAATATTCACCCCCAGCTTCAAACATAGATGTATGCCTCATGCAGGGAACTTTAGCTCCGCTTATAGATGCACGTTCCCGTCCCGGGTGCAGCTCCGCTTGTTTATTTGTTGCGTGACAGCGTAAAAAAACGTTTTTTTCTCCTTCTGGTTAAATAAACAAATGCGGGTTCGGTCGGCTCGTCTCTTATTCCTCAGATGCGCTGCATGTTTTCAGATATTTGTAATGAAGAAGTTTTAAGTAGTATTTTCCTCTTTTTTTAATGATGTTTTCAAAAACTAAACCAAAAGTTTAGTTGGTCAATGTCCTTCACATCCACACTATAAATTAAGGACCAAAAGAGATAACTGTTGCTTCAACGCTTTAATACCATTATATCTGAAACTGATGAAAAATATTGGATCCAACTTAATTTTCTCCATCGATTATGATGTGAAATGCTTGTTTGAATGGTTGTCTCTGTTCTCATTTCTCTGTAGATAATTCATAAGCCATATGTTCCGTTTTAACCTGAGTAGGGTTGTGATTGGATGTTACCATTGCAGAGTTAAATAAATATTGCTTGATGCCTCAGACTCTGTCAGACTTTCCGTTACGACCAAACAAATACCGCGTGGGCTTTGCCTCGGCTCCAGCGTTTAGGGGTCACTTCAGGCCTTTGTCGTGGTGTTTCTTTTAAACTCCGTTTGTTCTTTTTGGTCTGAAATAATCAGAACAGTGTTTGTTTTCATCCCTTTTACCACTTGATGTTTAATGAGCGTGTTTACTGTGTAGTGCTGAACAACCCCGAGCTGCCCTTGGATCCCAACCTGCAGACCAGCAACCTGCTCATTACCTTCCTAAAATACGCCTCCATTGTGATGCAGGACACTAAAGGTAATCAGGGAGCTTTACGTTCTCTCTCAGTGGCCTCACGCCATTAATTATTCCTCTTTGTGCTGCATGCTCCTCCCGCTTCCCTCTGCTACTGAGTTTATTCGTGCAGAACATCTACTGCATAAAAATGTCCTCCATCCCTTTGAGGCTGCCTTGATTTGTGCCATTTCTGGTTCTCTCTAACCTTTTAAAGCCCGATCCAAGAAAAATAGGAACAATATTGGATTTTTTTTAGTCTGAAGTCTTTCTTTGGCCCCTCAACAACATATGAAGAAAAAAAAACAGAAATTATTTTGATCAAATTAGCGTGCAATAAGTCAAAAATATATTTTGGTGTAGTCTTCTACTGGCTGTTATCAGGTATATCTGAATGTGTACAACAGGGGTTTGAGCAAAGCTTTTACCAGTGAATGATGCAAAAAGTCTCAGATCCAAAAGACTTCAGAAACCGTATGAATCAGATATAATACATTTGGCATTATAGGGCTAAGAGGAATGTGTGTGTTTGCAGACGAGCACCGACTGAACAGCGCCCGCCTGTGCCTGATCATCCTCACCTGCATAGCTGAGGTTCGAGCTCCGCCCCCCCGAACCGCCCCCCGGCCCCTCCACACGTCTGAACTGCTGTGCTTTGGTCTCTTTGTGTCACAGGACCAGTATGCCGATGCCTTTCTTCACGATGACAACATGAACTTCAGAGTCAGCCTCCACAGGATGGTAAACTCTGAAAGACCCACCTCTAAAAGAGCATCTGTTATCCTGACTATTACCCCTTTGGACCCTCTATTTCTCTTTCTGTGCTTCCTTCTCTAGAGAACTTATTCTCATATTGATAACTGTGAAATTGTGTCTACTTTGTAAGTCGCTTTGGATAAAAGCTTCTCCTAAATGCATAAACATAAACATAAGCAGAGGCAGGAGGCAAATTAAAAAGTGTCTGTCTTCTGTTAGTGACAGAGAGGCAAGTTTAAAGGGAATTTTCTATTTAGCTCTGTTTATGCTGTCAGTTTTCAAATATTTGTAAAGTATCAGTAACTTTTAGGCACTCTCTGTCAATTATCTGAAGTGAGCTGTTAATACACACTTCATATTTCATTTATATGTGTTTCTTTTCCTTTCAGCCCATGAGACACAGGAAAAAAACTGTGGACAAAAATATTCCCTCTCGTCCGCTGGTGTGTGCGGTTTTAGGTAAGAATAACGAACCCAAACCCTCCCCATCCTCCAGTGTATTTGAGTTATTTGAGTTATTTTAGTTTGTCTTTATCAGTCAATTCAAGAAAATCTAACCTTACTTTTAATATTTGTGTTAGATGCTGTTCTTTTCCACTTACTAAGGGGAGTGTTAATGTTTCCCACCAGAGACTGGAGCTGTCAGCTCCGCGTCATTTATGTAGCATCTTTTTTTAGATGCTCCAGACTGTGTCAAACCAGAAATGCAAAACGCAGTCTTACGAATGAAGACTGAACGAATTAGAATCCATGAACTGTTGCAGTGCATGCTGGGATTTTTAGTGTGAGTGGTGGGACAGCTATTTCTGGACGTCCTTGAGAAAGGCAAATGTGGTCAAGATGTTGTTATGGACAGTGAACATCACTGTACATTTACAGTAATCTGCCCAAAGGACGGCTTTGTTTTTTTGTCTGAGATTAATCGGTCTGTATCTTTAGAATAACACAATATTTGTGGTCAAAGGATGCTGAATTTTTCCGTCTCCTCTGCTCCTTTTTCGTAGATTTAATGGTGGAGTTTATCGTCACTCACATGATGAAGGATTTCCCCATGGATTTATACTTGTAGGCACACACATTTGATTATTCTCCAGACTCACATCCCTGTGATAATCCTCCACCCAGCCTCATGTGTTTCTGTTTCCTGTGCAGGCGCTGTGTGCAGATCATCCACAAACTCCTGTGTTACCAGAAGAAATGCAGAATCAGGTTACACTACACATGGAGAGAGCTCTGGTCAGGTAAAGGTGTTTCTCTTTCGTTTTGGTGTGTTTTTTAATCAAAGTAAAGTCCCATCCAGTGTGATGCATTTCTCCAGATTGAAGAGATGCCTTTGATTTTCCTTGCTGTGCTTAGTGGTATTAGGGCTTAGACTCGGGGCTTAGACATCTCAGGAATGGATATTTTATAAGCTGCAGTGTTCTCAGATCTTATCTTTTCAAAAGAAAAATTAGCAAAACTTGTTGCCTTAAGGATTTCTTAAAAAGAAAATGTGAAGGTGATGTCATGTTTCTGGATTATGGGCTGAGGTTGGTCAACCTAAAGCTCAATTATTTCCTTAAAACAACATTTCAGGCTGGATTGTGAGCACAAAACAGTTTTTTTAGGGAAGGTTTGAACTGTATGGACCAAAGCAGGTTCAAAGGCGGATTAAATAATTATCTGGAAGTTTCCCTCTGATTTTCCCCTCATGAGATTAGTAACAGTTTCTGCTTTTGCAAAACAAAGCCATTTCCTGCTGAAGTCACTTTGCTTGTTGTTTTGGATGCACTGCATCATTGGGACTGGATAACGAGTCTCTGAAGACGTAACAATCCATCCTGGTGGCCTTGTTTTCAACTTGGTCAGCCATGATATGTTAACATTGTGCCGCGTAATGGCCTCATCACACGGCTCCTCATTGGAATTCAGATTCCCCTAATCACACCAATAATCACATTAAATCCCAGAATAACACAGACTCGCTCCTCTCGGTGGTGATAATCACATGCTATGAAAGAAACCTGGAGGGAGGAAAAATAGCCAAATTAAAGCAGTAGATGTGCTTATCTCCTTTGAGTGCTGGTGTTTGTTGCACATTTTGGTTTCTCTCATGGGTTTTTGTCTCCTCAATAAGAGCTTGCAGGCAGGCTTGATTTGGTTTTCCGAGCCCCCCTACCCCCCCATTTCCATTATCTACCTTAATAAAGACGGGCATGCAGAAAAGCAGGCGGCAGCCATATGCCTCTGCTGGCCCCAGAGGGTCGGAGCTCCCTGGTGTGATTCTCCCTGTCTCTGTGCAGCTCTCATCAACCTGCTGAAGTTCCTGCTGTCCAACGAGACCACGCTGCTGGCCAAGCACAACATCTTTCATCTGGCCCTGCTGGTAAGAAGCCGAGGCAGGTGAAACATTAACGGTGTGGAGTGTCTCCGGAGACACGTTGAAGATGGATATTTTCTCCGTTTATATCAGTTATAACAGTGGCAGAAAGAAGCAGAACAAACAATTAATCTAAGAGGTTTTGTCCATGGATGCAGCCAAAAAAAAGACAGTATTAGTTCTTATAATAACAAAAAGAAAAAAATTGTTAATGATAAATATTTTAGAACATTATTTTCATACATAAATACAAAAAAATCATTAAATAAATAATAAATAAATAATAAATTAAATAAATTAAATATGAAAAATAAAAATGATAATAAGAGTGACACAAGTTCCTGGAGCAGGAGGAACAAAAAGGGATATTTTGAAGATAAAAACAGCCTTAGATAGCAGTCGTGGTGAAAATGATAATTTATATTGATAATAATGTATATTTAGATAACAGCTCCTCCTGTGTTTCTCCTCCTTCAGGTCGTGAACCTGTTCAACATGTTCATAACCTACGGAGACACGTTCCTGCCCACCTCCAACAGCTACGACGAGCTCTACTATGAAATAGTACGAATGCACCAGGTGTTTGACAACCTCTACTGCATGGGTAAGGCTAAAAAAAAATCAGAAATTTGGGATTTTTTAAGAGTTCAAAGCTCGCTCCGGTCGTGATCGGTTGACACCAGTCTGACTTTTTTTTCTTCTTCCTTATTCTTCATTCTTTGCGTTTCAGTTTTGAGAGTATCGACCAACACGGGCCAGTGGAAGGAGGCAGCCAGCAAAGTCACGCACGCACTGGTTAACATTCGGTAAAGACTCACTCTCATCAGAGACATCAGCTTTCTAAAAATTAAAAAAATAAAATGAAATAAAGTAGAAGTTCTGCGTGAAACGTGGAGTTTTCCATCCGCATTTATATATTTTTTATATTAAATTCACTTTTTGTCTGCTACACCTCAACCAAACACATGTTTCTGCTACTTCCCCTCTAACTTTTGACCCTTTTAATATTTCTGTGAGCTCACCCAGTCCTAAAGGCCCCGGGGAGCTCTTTTTCTGTGCTACTGAATGGACTCCCCCTTTATTGTGGGCCCCAAATGGAGCCGTGCCCCTGCATGAACCCATAGCTACATGGGGGTTGATGGAAAGTCTGGAAAAAGAACTTAGAACTATGATGAAACTATATTTCAAAGGATAGATAAATAAATAACTGAAGACAGATGAATAAAGAACAGGCTGATTCACTCTTCTGTGCGCTGGCTGCCCACGAATAAAAGAATTATCATTATAGTCATTATGACCATTTGACTTATGAAACACTCCAAGCCAATAGAAAATAGACCATCTAATGTCTCAGCTGTTCTTATTGTTTCAATTTATATTCCAAACTGTTTTATTTCTTTGGAATGAATGCTAATGCTAGAGGCAATTGCCTCTGAATGTACATCTGAGAGTCCCTTGATGTGCTCATGCAGTATACAGATTGCTTTGAGAAGGAGCTGAACTGAGAGAAGTTGTGTTTTTAACCAGCTCCGGCTGGGTTTCTCAGAACCTTTCCCATCAGAACTGGATCAGGTATGCAGGGTGTGTTATTGGGGTCCACCTCAGCACTATGCAGCTCCCATTGTAAGCCACAGTTGTTCTTAAAGGATTGATTGGCTCATTTTTTGTTTGGAAAAGCACAAAGCTGACATGTGTAACACCATGAGCCCAGACCCAGCTTATGGCTAGTCTAGTGCAACCAACAGCTATTTCTTTGATAGTTTTTTTTTTCCCCACCAGTTTTTAGCTTCATTTGGACAACGGTGTTTACGCCTCGTCTTTGAACTACCTGAAAGCTGCTCCCTGCCCAGATGCCTGCACTTGTCTCACTTCCACCTATTTCCATTTATTTTAACATAAGATGAGTTATTGATAGAGCTCACTAGTCTCAATAAAGCTGTTTCTGCTCTCACTCCACCGTTATGTCAAATAAAACAAAGGAAAATGCACATGTTATAAAGTTTGTGCATGAATCCATTTATTGGCCACGAGAACAAATAGATATATTGCAAGTTAGACTATAAGGGGTAGCTTAAAGGGGTCCAGCTTCCTCATGCGACTAAAGGACATGAAATCTATGTTGAATAACTTTTATTGGAATAAATTCCAAGGGTGAACCTCCTAAGATATGTGTAATTTAATTTCATAAATGTTTTTTTTTTGTCTTTAAGGGCCATCGTCAACCATTTTAATCCTAAAATTGAGTCGTATGCTGCTGTGAACCACATCTCCCAGCTGTCAGAGGAACAGGTAAATAAAGACCACTAACACTCACATGAAAATGAAAGGAAACTTTAAGCACCTCACATTAGCACAACAAGCTAAGGAATGGGATGTCTTCTGAAAAAGCTGACTGGTTTAAGCTGGATTTCTAGATAAAAACTATGTTAACAAGTTCTTTGTTTTTGTTTATTTATAGAAACACGTTGAGTTCCTCTGTCTTCAGATTCATGTGTATTATATAAATAATCTGCTTTTAGCTGCTCTTGGGGACATAGCTGCATTACAGAGAGTTTCATTGGTTTGCAAACACCAAAGAGTCTTTAAAACGAAGCATCTGGATAACTTCTGAGTATTTTTTCCCTCATTACTGTTGGAGAAACGTGAGCCCAGAGTCGAAGGAGGCTGAGCTGATATGAGAGCTGTCAGCTCTATTTAAGGCTTATTTATTTCATATCTACAGGGAGGAAAAAAGCAGCCTGTTCTCAGAGTGCCTTCTTCTTCTTTTTTTTTTTTTTTAAACTGATAGGAGAATGATGGATTTGGTCATTATATCCCCCAATTACCTCTGTGCTTTTATCTGCTAGATTTATTCATAAGGAAGAGAACGGCTGTGGTTTTAATGAGCTGTTTGTGGTTATGTTATTCTCCACTTGCATTAAGCCCTGCTTCTAATTCCACCGAGTTACTGGACATAACAAACAGTTCTGTTGAGTACTTTACCCTCAAAAATGGACAATTTACCTCTAAACAGCATATTCAGTTAAGAGAGATGAACAAGAAGTAAATTTAGGAGAAAGCAAATAATATTTGATTAATAAGACAGTCTCACTTCTTTGCATTTAAGCCGAATTAAGTAAATGAATAAAAGCATATGGAAGTCATGCACACATTTTCATGGAGGAATTCATGCTTATCTCCAACGTTAACGTCATAGCAGTATTGAATTTTTAATGGTTTTCGGACTTTTCTGGGACAGAAAGGGGAGAATGTGCAGCTTATACAATGTAACAGGAAAAACTAAACAAACAAAACAAGAGTTCGATGCTCAGGTTTTGGTTTTTTAATGGTTTCAGCGATCATCAAATCCCCAGAAATATGTGCTCACAGCTCAGATGGGAAGTGGCTGATCGTTTCTTTATTTGAGACCAGTTGGTTCTGTGGTATCAAGCTGGATTTTGATAAGATGGGATGGACCGGTTTTTCCAAAACCTTCCCTTTAGGATAGCTTGTTGTGCCTCAATAGTAGTTTTTTGTTTTCTTCTTCTTTTATTATTGTTTCAACAATACTTCAGTTATTATTTGATGTGTTATCTCTTCTCTTTAGATAAACTAAATAAGTCAATTCCTTGGGTTTGAATGCAGAATTCAGCACATTGAAACCCAGCGTCTTTGTTATTCTTTGTTACTGAACTCAGTGAAAAAGCCTCAGTATGAAAACCTGACAGAGGTTTTAATACTCGCCTCTCCACCAGAGATGGAGGCTCCGCGGGACACCGCCAATCATTAATGAAGGTCTTTTCAGGGCTCCTCTCTAAAGCAGGAGTTTAGGAAACAGAAGAACCAGACTCAACAAAACAAAAAGCAAATACAAAATGGAACAAACAACGGGTTTCCTACATGAAAAGAAAGCTGTTTGTTTAAAGTAAGAAGCAGTCTGAGTTATGGGGAGTTTTCAGGCTGGTTTTTGCCCCTCAGTCCTCGTTTTTAGTAAAACAAACCCGGGGTGGACTCCATCTCTACGCAAAAGCTAAGCCTCCTCGCTCCTGATTGGACGCTGGAAGATGGGCGATTGACACAGGGAGCCTTAAAGCTGCTTTCATATCCACACTGAAACACAAACGCCATTATTTCTGCTCCGATGCAGAAAAGCTGCTCGGGTGAGTTCAGTGGGGACTAAACCATGAGTCAAACACTCATCTGTATCATTTCCAAACAAAGCTGCTGCTCATTTTAGTGCTTTTTACCCCCTTCCCTCCTCCGTGAGGTCCTCTCATTAAGCTCAGGTTACTATTCAGAGCTTCCAGCATGTTTTCCCTCACAGCTCCAGGAGGATGAGATGTATGGGCTGAATTTTTCATCAGCGTACAACTAGAGGTTGAATTAAAACAACAGCCAGTTTTTGCCGGGGCAGAGCCGTTTGTTTATATGAAGGAAGTAAAAGGAAAGAGTGATTTAGTGGTTCTTAAATGTTGAGAATGGACGTGTGAACGTAAAATGTAAAAAGCCCTGATGGCACGTTAACTTCAGGGCTTTATTTCCAGCTCCTGGAGCCTCTGAGGGAAGCGTGACAAAGTGTGGCTCGTGTCTCATTGTGAATGTTTCATGCTGCCGGGGCATTAATAAAGCAATGAAGGAGGATGTAGATGTTGGAACATCTGTACACTCTTACCTCATGCCTTCTTATCTCGGTTGGATTTGAATTCAGCTCCTTTGGATGTTTAGCTCTAGTAAATGCACACATACTCATATGTAGCGTTGGTCATATTTTTGTGTTGCTTCTTGAGAAAATTAATTTGAGAAGACTCAAAAGTCTTTATTTGTCCTTTTAACTAACTGTGATATAATATTATACTATTCTAGTTGTATAAGTACCATTTACTACTGTGTGATGAGTCCAAATTAGTGTAGTTTGATATATGTCAGACTGTGTACAACAAGGTTTTGAGCAAAGTTTTTACCATGAAGTTTTTGCAAAAAAGTTTAGAAGCTGGATGCATCCAATATGATGCACTCGGGTTTCTGGGGTTAAGCAGAGGCTCATTTCTGGTCGCTCTCACATTAAGCCGAACTCTGTGAATGTACGGCTGCAAAACGCTGCTCTGCAGCTCCTTCAGGGTTTCTTATCACAATCATTCTTGATCGTTCTTTTATTGTTCTTTGCTTTTTGGACGGCTTTATTTGGATGCCATGTTTGTTCGACTTTTAAAATAACGGAGAAAATGGCACTCTGAGAGGATATCCATAACTCCATTATTCAAAATATGACTGACCTTTTTTTTGGACAGTTTTTGTTAAATTTTAGAAATAGAACACCATGAAAATGTAGATATATATCACATAAATAAACAGTACATTCATATTTAAAGACATTCATACATAATCTTCTTAATCCCTAAAAAAGGGAACTTCCGCTCCTTTTTCACTCTAAAGTGCTTTAATTGTTCTGTATCTCCTTTCTGATGGCCAAAGATGGAGAACAGCCTGACTGTGTTTTTTTGTTTGAGTGTTTTTTCCTTTTGAGCTGAAGTGGCTTCACAGTGGGACAGGTAATATTTTGAAAACGCAGTGAATCCCACAAGTTGCTCTTCTCACGTTTTTTTCTGACAAAAATCAGCTGTAAGGAAGTTGGTTGGAGGGGAAACGGAGGCTGAGTCTCGGTGTTCCAGCTCTCCACACGATGCCTCTTCAAAGAGTTGCAATAAACTATTGAAACCTCATGAATAATTGACCGTTTGCTCTCTGTTCGCCTGATTGAAACGGGGCTGTGGAGGGGCACGGGAACTAAACTATCTGCCCTGCTCCCCCTTCAGGTTTTGGAGGTGGTACGGTCCAACTACGACACGCTGACCCTCAAACTGCAGGACGGCCTGGACCAGTTTGAGAGGTATTCGGAGCAGCCAAAGGAGGCCGCTTTCTTCAAGGAGCTGGTAAGAGACTTCTCAGGGTTTCCTCCATCAGCCCCGAACTGAGGCTCAATTCAATTCAGTTTTATTTATATAGCCCCAAATCACAGCAACAGTTATCTCCCAGCTTTCCAAACAGAGCAGGTCAGACCGGACTCTGAAGTTATTTACAGAAGAACAACAATTCCCACCAAGAACAAGCACTAGGCGACACAGGGAAGGAAAAACTTCCTTTTAAGAGGCAGAAACCTGGAGCAGAACCATGACTCAGGGTGGGATAAAGTGATCAAAAACTAAAATAAGACTTGAGTAACAGAGGAAATCAAATGTGTTAGAGGAGAAATAAGGGACACCAGCCTCCGTTTGAGTTAATAGAAAAATAAAATCAGATGTCTCACATTGGGAAAAAGTTTAAATCAGGGTTGGAAATTCGTGGGAATCTGGTATTAGCCACCAAAAGTAATCGCCCGATTCTATTCTGTCTGTGGGCTCCAGCAGACTAAATCTTAATATTTCTTTGTAGCCTCGTGTTCATATTCAGAAACCAACACACAGAAAATGTTCTGTCAGCAGTTCTTCTGGAACGCTGTGGTCGCTGTAATATATATATTATCAAATAATATTATTAAAAACGTTTTCAGTTCCTCTCGCTTGGCAGCGCAACCACGTCATGCCTCTAACGATTTCATAGAAATGATGATAAACTGCAAGATAACATGGAGGACGATGGATTTAAAACCAAAACTTTATTTTTTTTGTTGATTCCCTGTTCATTTTGCATGTATTTGATATAAAAACTCCATTTTACAGCTCGTCCGACCCCACGACGGGCTAAAAGCTTTTGATTTGATAACAGAAAAAGTAAACGTACTTGGAAGTTTTTTGGGGAAAAGCTCTGATTCTGACGTGAAAGAATGACCAGAAAAGCTTGGGTTTTTTATTGTTCCTGAGCCCGGGCGCTCAGTCGCTGATGAATGTGTGTGCAGGTGCGCTCCATCAGCCTGAACGTGAGGAAGAACGTCTCTCTGAACACGCTGAGTCAGGACGTGCTGCTCAAAGAGTTCTCCACCATCTCCTGAGACCCTCGCCTCCCTCAGGCCGACCTCTCTGTGCGTGTCAACACACACACAGACACACACAAACACACACGCGCAGACACACTAACCCGTTCGGCGGTTCGTCCCATAAATGGCCTCGACTCTTCGTCTGTTTCCGGAGCAACGGGACGCTTCGTAAGGAAAGATCCAGAAACTCCAGATTTCCTCCTCCGCTGTCAGACATTTAAGAAAACACCCACATTGTGCACAATCAGCGGTTTTGGCTGGACTGTTAACCGACGAGTGAACAAGTATTTCAAACCCCCCCCCCTCCCTTTTTATGTTTTTCAAACTAATCACGACTCGTCTGACTTTTCCTGAACATCCGGCAGCACCTCTGATGGGATGCTGAGCCCTGTTGGTGACTCTTAGTCTTCTGTAGAGCCTAAATCCCGTCTTTGTGTTTGGAAGCCTGTTGCGCGAATGTTTAAATGAATTGTGTTTGTCTGCTGAAAAATTAAAGTATTTTTTATTTACGGGTTTTGCCGAAGAGTGAAACGTTTTAGTGGTGATTGAAACCTTCCCGCTGTTCATATTTGCCCAACCAGAGCCGACTCTAACACTCCCACACAGCTGCTTTCTCTTTTTTCTGACTATTAACCTGAATGTGTGGAGGGGGGGGGGTGGTGGGGGCACATGGTAATGCAGTTACGTGTCGAAAGAGCCTCATACGACACATTGCTCAATAATGTTCTTCAGATGATTATTTTGATCTGATTTCTGCAACTCCTCTAACTCCTGTAGGCGCGTTTGTTTTCTTTAAAGACAAAATAAACATTGTTTTCCTACTCTACTGGAACGTCCTGTTAATCCAGAGTCCACAGAGAAGAACACGCCTCCTCTTAATCCCTCTGGTGAAGGTAAAGACTCACATAAAACACCTCTGCCAGCCCACAGCTGATGCATTAAACCCCGGCAGCAGACTTTTTATCCCCTCAGAGGTGAAAGATGCGTTTTCATTGGAAAACCATGTTTTTCTCTCAGATCATTTCTTTTACTTGAAGTGTGAACGGTGCCTTCAGGTGGACGTTTTCAGGCTCCAGGTGTTTATGTGGAGTAATGTTTCTGTCCATCACTGAGAAGCAGCAGTCTGTGTGTGTTTGTGTGTGTGTGTGTTTGTGTGTGTGTGTTTGCACTTTAAGACCAAAACAGGGAGCTAAATGCAGCTCAGATCGCACGAACTTCCAAAACTCGACAGTTCCAGAAATTTCTCTGTAAGTTTTTGTCACCGAGAGCGAACAGTCTAATGTTTTAGAATAAATGGAAACAAAGATCAACTAAAGATCATTCAGTCTCGGCTCTGCAATCACAAACAGAACAAAAGCTGCTGAATTAAACAAAAAAAAGGGAACCAGAGCTTTAAGTTTGGAATAAACTGCCCAGCAGAAATCAGTGGAGATAAGGTTCAACATAACTCAGATCAGACATCATTTTACCCCCAAAACTGTGAATACGAGCACAATTAGACCCTTTTCTTTTACTTTTAGGACGTTTCTGCTTTTCCCCCTGTGGTTCTATGTCAGTCTGTGAATGATCTTGTGCTTTAGCTCCGGTTTCTGTCCTCCGTGGTGGATCTATCTCTCTGGGCAGATTCCCTCCTGCTCTCCTCTCACCTTTGCTCTTTGTCCTCGGCTGTCTCCACTCTAATCGCCTGCTCTGTTTTTAAGCTTTCCAGTTTTCCCTTTGTCAGATCCCCTGTCGTCTGTCTGTTGTTATCCGATTATTCTGGCTACTCCTCTGTGGTTTTGTCCCTCTGCTCCTTGTTGTCCTCGTCTAGGTTCAGTTTGTTTAGTTTTTTTGTTGTTGTTTATCTTTATTATCGTTATTCAGTTATTGGTTTTCTGGTTCATCCGGGGCTTTTGTTATCCAGGTTGACCCCCAGTTCCCTGCCACACACTGAGCCAGATGTTCTTCAGATGTTAACCCTTTAAAGCCTGATCCAAGGATCCAAAAATTGGGAAAATATTGGATTTTTTTAGTCTGAAGTCTTTCTTTGACCCCTAAACAACATGTGAAGAAAGAAAAACAGAAATGATTTTTATCAAATCAAAAACATATTTTCGCTCGCTTTGGAGTGCCTGTCTCTTTAAATGCAAATGAGACACAGCCAATCCACCCACTTCTTCAGGGAGGTGTGCCCACGTCGGCACGCTAACGCTACCATGCTAACGCTACCATGCTAACGCTACCATGCTAACGCTACCATGCTAACGCTACCATGCTAACGCTACCATGCTAACGCTCACGCTACCACGACGTCTGCCACAGATAGGCGGAGTAAGCTGAGGGTGGAGGCAACATGCAGGTGAAAGGCTGGAATATTATAATGAGCTAGAGCTAATGACGTCAGAAACTACCCACTCCTGAAACCTCCTGATTTATCTCCTGGATTGAGACTGAGGCAGCCCACAAAAACATGACTGAGTCTTTTTTTTTTCACACTTTGCCTGCTGATAGGCCCTCCACAGTCCCAAATGTACATAATCAAATTATTAAAAACTTGGTTTTGCATAATATGTCCCCTTTAAAGCTTTTGTGTGAATTGCCAAAGCAGCTTTTAGCTCTGGTGACCCTCATGTTCCTTCGTCTTCTATTTCAAGTCCAACGCGCATTTTTGGGACGTACAGTGTGAGGTCAGATCTCATATCGGGTCGTATAGTGAGAAGATAAATCCTGAGCTGAACTTTTAACCCTGCGATTTGATGGTGCAGTTTGAGCTGGAGCTACTAGCAACGATTGGAAATATAGAACAGCATTTGCCGGCTTAAGCCAAAGATCTCTGGTGGAATTAGAGTTTTCCGGGCTGAGAGGCTGACCTCCTGTGGGTTTGTGGGAGTCTTTCTGGTAGCTTCTGCCGGTCACCTGCTGGGAAAAGGCCCTAGCGTGGCTCAGACGGTGTGTGAATATTGTTTTTGGGAGGCGCATTGAGGTTGTCGTGTGCTGGATGAGCCTCAGCCCCCGTTCTGCCAACCTCTCCCAAATCCTTCTGCTTGGATTTGGCCGGCATATTAACTCCCTGACATAATCCCCGCGCTGTACTTTCATGCGTGTTCATGCCGCCGAGGGCTTAGCTGCAGGGAGGAGAAGCCTCTGTCTGCAGCCTGTAGGGGCCTCGGGTGGATATCCAACTCCGCCCACCTCCAAGTCGGCCATTTTGATAAGGTCATGTGACTAGCAGCTTTCTGAGTTGGAAACGAAACTTTACTGTCTATACGAAATCGGAAGATAAACGATGTCCTAAACCCTGACCCTAACCCTAACCCTGACCTTCCACCCTTCATAATTGTGAGAAATAAATATTTTTTTGGTTAAATTTGTTTGGACTTATTGTACAAACCTATTTAACATCCACTATTTTAACATAATATTATGTATAGAGTTTAATTCAGTGTGTGCTAGATTCATTTGACTATATTTAAATTAATGTCTATATTGCCATGAAGCAATTAGGATTTTCTTGCCTGGGATCTTCCTATTGGTGACCTAATCAAAATGGCCGACTTGGATGTGGGTGGAGTTGGATATCCATCCTTGGCTTCCTGCAGCCAGACCTACTTGGCCGAGTCGTAGCCTCTCGGTGTGGCGTCTGTGTGTAATCACAATGTTTCCGTTCCCCTTTTATCGGCCCTCTCATCTAACATTTATTCCGGGGGAGATTGGCGTCTTTATCTCGCCTCCCGCGGCTGGTTATCGCCTCGCCCTCGCCCTCCTCAGCATGGAAACGCAGAAACTCGCTACTCCGAAGGCCCTTTTTTTCCCCTCAGGCCCTTTTCTCCCCTCAGGCCCTTTTCTCCCTCTATCTCACCAGAGCGTCTGACTCCAGGCATCAGTCGGAGCTCGTTATTGGTTATCTGTCAGCTCCACTTTCCGTCCTGCGGAGGAGCTAAACTTCTCCGTAGGAGATTAAACCATCAATACCGCGGGATTTCGCCGTCCCAGGGCATATTAGATATTCAAATGCCTTCCTGCCCCCCCCCCCCCGCCGTTCATGCTTTCCCCTCTCCCCTGTTCTTTGTTACAGATTACCTTGAGTATTTTTCACCTCACCGGGGCTGCTTTTTCTGCCCTTCTCCGCTTTGCCTTTTTCCTTATCCTGCTCTTCCTCCTGAAGCTGGCAGATATTTTCCTTCCTCTCCATCCCTCTTCTGACAGGGGACACAATAATCCCTCACTCAGCTGCCTGTCTTTAAAAGGCTTAAAGTCTGTTGATCCCCAAAATGCATTATTTTAGCTTTTCCTGGAAAAATGACTCCTGGTTTTCCCACTTTATTTGCTCGTTTATTTATTGGTTTTGATTCTGTCCTGATTCCTGCACGGCACCATGCAAACCTTTGACCAGAACGTGTAATTAAACCTCGTGTAAAAGGGATTTATTTGTAAGCCTGTGCCATCACAACCTCAAGCGTGAGGTTTACATGTGGAAAAGAGGGACAGATTTTATTTTTTTTAAAGAGGGGAACTGAGAAATCCTCTGGGATTGTTCAAACTCTTTGTAGCTTGTCTCTAATTACTAAGAGGTTTAAGCCCTATCCACTTAACCGCATGCTAACAGTGTGCAGATGAGAGAAGGAGCTAATTACCAACCGTGTTGGGTTTAAATGAAATCACCACACCGGAAGGTTTTCAGGCCTCAGTGCTTCTATCCGCAGGAAGAATCCGCCAGTCAACTCGAAGGAGGCCAAGGAACTGACCGTGGACTTACACACACACACACACACACACACACACACACAAACACCAGGGGTGCTAAAATCTGTTTCTTATTGGGACCGTGATCTTGGTCCTAACTTGTCAAATGGTCTCAGTATGTAGGGGGATTTTCTCATGGAAGGTCCCAAGAAGGGTAGTAATACAAGAACACACAAACACACACACAGACACACACGCACACACACACACACTCCTTCCATTAAAGGTGCATCCGGCTTCAAATTCCTGCTCCAACCCGGTTCAGAAGTACCTCCTCTTCTTTTGGACCTTCA